GTTGTTAGACGTCAAACGTTTCATTAAATATCTCTTTTTTTTTAGTTTATATTTTTTTGGAGTTTATTAACAATTCAGTAAAGAAAGATCTGTCAACGCTTCCACCTTCTAGCTTCCTGCTATTTTATTGTAGATATTTGCAAAACATATTGAATAAAATAAATTTTTGATTTTATTGTCAAAAACAATTTGCGATATTAACCGGAAAATTGGACACCGTTGTATATACTGTTCTACAACCAGAGAAAGTGAAGAGTATAAACCGGAATTAAATACACCGTGGTATTAATCGCTGTTTATAAAGACATTGTCAGCTATTAAATTAAAATTATACACCTGAATGATCAGTGTTGTATACGTTAGTCTTGTTAGACGTCAAACTTCTCATTAAATTATAATTGAACATTATTATAAACCGGAAAAATGCACACCGTTGTATATATTCTATTCCATAACCGTTGCATTACAACAGTCAAGTTCAAGTATAAACCGGAACTAATTAAACAACTATGTCTCAATTGTGAATTAACCCAATACAATTTGACATAATTCATTGGTAAGATTCACTGTCTCCAATCAATTAATTATCGATTCAGAAATGTATTTACAATCTTGGAAAAGGAGACACTTTTCCTGTTTTTAAAATATTATAGAAATGTTGTCTCATTACTTCATAACCTGCGTAGTTTATTCCACAGGGATCGTTTCCACACCATATTTCGATGATAAAGGCAAGTGCGTAAACTCCACAAGAAGTACCATCACCTTGTCCAGTTACCTTTATCGATACTATATTTTTTTTTAAAATATGAGGATATCTACGATCGATATAATCCCTCTCTTGAGGCAATAACCTTCCGTAATTTGGCCTAAACGAACTATCTAAAATCCTTAGCTGTTCTCCCTTACAGTGCAAGCCGCGCCAATGTTTAAAATTACCAGGAACTCCGCCAATAATTTGAATATCTTCATTATTTTTATTATTATCAAATGCATGTATATTATCTCTAAACATCATGTATTGGACGCTAAGAACTTCGAAATTTTTATTCTTTTGTAGTAAATGAATCATTTTGTCCATGCATATTTCATTCAACATATGTTCATTGGATAGGATTCTTTCCTTTTGTTCCTCTAATGGAAACATGTGTAAAAAGTCTAACAAGGGCAATTTTTCTGATGGAATTTCATGTGCCGTTATTTGTATTTCATCGTCAGATTGACTGCGACCAATTTTTTGATCAATCTTGACGTTCTCATTACTAGCTAAGTATGCTATATTATTTTCAGCATTCCCTTTTTCAAGAATCTCATGTACTTTTGCAAAAATGTCCTCTTCATTTCCAATTTGTGTGTCGTTATTGTCATCAAACGTTTCTGTCATATGAGATGCGTTTATTTCGAATGACATGGCTTCCTCTTTTTTATGAAATGTTTCTGATAAGCAGGATTCGTCTAATTCTGATGGCGTGTCTTCCTCTCTTTCTACTTCTCGCTCCATTTTCTCCCACATTTCATCAAACATGTCATCGAATTCTTCGCTATCAACTGATTCATTGTCAGATGAGCTGTCATCAGATTCAGTCATAAATTCGTCATTTTTTAGTTCAACTGATTTTTTATCTGGTGTGAACTTATCACTAGTAATCTGCACATTTCTCTGATCATTTTCTTTTAGTAAATTATTTTTCTTTTTTTCTTCTTGAGCATTCAAACAATATTTTGATTCTCTGATTGGTCTGCTTCTATCCTTTCTACTATCAACAATTTCAAGAAGAAGGCACTCATTGTAAAATCTTATCAGCTTCATTTCCATTTTAGTTTTCCAAAATTCGTCATCACGTTCGATCACAAAGAAATGGTTAACATTTTCAGCCCAGATAAGAAAAACACAAAAGTGTCGTTTAGTATATCGCAGTGCACCCTGTACTTGATAGTAATAACGATGTGTTTTATTCAGGGCATTTGGATTGTTCTTGCTAAGCATCTCTAAGACAGAAGATACTTTAAGTAATTCCTTTAAAGTTTTAACATTACTGGCAGCGATTGGACATTTTACTTCTACGATTCCTCCGGTTTCAGAATCTTCCATTGTTGGCAAAACTTTTCCATTCATTATTTTGTCAGTAGGTATTTTTAATGAGCTTAAATCAGCATCAATAATTCCATCCGGTGTCGCTCCCAGAAATGAAAACTCAAAATCAATCATTAATCCACTTGGTTTAATCTTTATACCCAAAGCGTTAGACAAGTCACTTATAGCCAGCCGTTCATGATCCTTCCCATATTCTAATGCTTCTAAAGTGGACATTTTTTTCGGTTTCCAGTACAAAATCTCGTGCACTACTTTAGCAGCAGAGGTTGTGTCACGTTTACTACAAACTTTACCATAATTGGAACTTGTTAACATTTCTTGTCTAGTTGTTATCCAAAGAGGTGATTCAGCTTGCTCCAATGTTTTTGAGAAAATTTCTAGTCGATTTTCTTGATTTTCCTTTTGGATAATTTTTAACTGCTCACATAAATGTGGAATCTCATCTGCCGTTTTGTCAAGTTGCTTTGCTTTTGGACCATAATTTTTATCAGTTGCTTGAGTACTTGCTTGCATTCTTCTGGGTGCGTAATTGTAAGTTCTGTTTCGTTCGATTTTTTCCTGTCTTTCATATTCCATTCTTTGCAGTACTTCTGGACAGTCTTTTTCCTTACTTTCATACAGAGTACACAATGGTGTTTTAGTTAAAGACTTGACCACTGCAATAGTACATGCTCCAGTGTACCTGCTGGACTTGGTAAAATCTGGTCTTTTTCCAGAAACAGTTTTGCAAATCAAATTATTAAACCATTCGCATTTGTTAGTTGATGCATTAAATAAAATACTCTCTGCATGAATGCTCAGATTTCGAAAAATCTTCATGAGTTGTGAGAAAATTCCCGTATCCTTCAACAACGGGACAATGTTCTCATCTTCTTTGATTTCAGAGGCACATGGCCACTTTAACTCTTTACATTTTTCGTGATCTCCAAATGTGTGGCTTGGAACATTTAGCATGTCCTCCGATGTCATTTTTGTTTTCTCTGATTGTTCCAGGTTGGAATCATCTCTCCTCCGTTTTGCAGCTGCTTTAATTACAACACCTAAATCGAATATTTTTTTTTCAAATGTCCTCGTGCCTTTCTATAAGGTCCGCGACGATATCTTGCACCACCTACAGTTACAGAAACTTTTTTACATTTTTTCAAAACACCTTTTATCAAATGATTGATACATCGAAATTTTTTGACCTTTACTTTATACTTGGCATATGGATCTGCCTTATGGATTTTGAAGAGAACGCTACTATCACCGTCAGCTATAAAATGTTTATAAATCAATCCTCTTTTTTCCACGCTATTTGAAAATGCTTCACTAAGTCCAGCAGACTCCATACCTCCTGAGCTTTCATTTTTAGGATAATTTTTATAGCAATTATGTTTTTTTGGTGGTCTATTCTCTTTCTCTGCTCTGTCACATGTTGAGCAGGTTTTTTGTTTTATAACAATGTCAATGATCTCGCCTGTTTCATAACCAATTACAGAATTACAGTTGCCTGAAGAGTCAAAACGATTTCCAAAAGAACGCTTCGCCCATGAGCCGTCGGTTATTACTGTTGTCCAGGGAACGCCGTCTATTACTTGTCCTTTATTTATTGCGATTTCAGCTTCCCTTTTGGCTGCTTCCTTCATGCATTCTTCAGCGACTTCCAACATATCTTTTGTAACTTTTCCTTGATATGAACGAAAAGTTTTGCTGTCCATGCAAGGCATACCAATTCCTTTGAAAATTTCCTCTGCATTACTATATGGAACACCTCCAGACATACAGCCAGCTGTGAAAAAGTAATTAGGGTCCGAATCATCGGGATGCGACGTAATTCTTTTTATCACATTACATTCAGTACATTCGAAATGAATAAATGTTTTCATTCCTCTTTGGACAATTTTTTGCACCTTCCAATTTTTTGTCACACATTCATTTTCGTGAACATCATCTTCTTCTTTCATTAAATTCATTATCTGCCATACAAGATATCCGACATCTACGATCCGAACTCCAATGGATGAATACTTTTCTTCATACATATCTTGAACATTCTCTTTTGTCTCATATTCACTATTCATTTCTACGTCTTCACCCCCAACAACTGTCGTATCTTCTGTTTTATCCTCATACGTATCTTGAATATTATCTTCTGTTTCAAATACAATGTTCATTTCTAATTCCTCATCACCAACAGCTATTTTATTTTCTTTTTTTAATTTTTTTGCTCGTTCTCTGTGTCAAAATAAAAACGAAAAATAACAATCTACCTTATCAAATATTACAACATAAAAATTATTTTTTTTGTTTGAAAATTTTGTATTAAATGTAATATTAATATTTTAGAAGATGTTTAATATGAGGTACCATACCCAGATATAATTCTATAGTATCTAGCTGGTGTAATGTCCTTTTTGTTTAAAAGAGACTTGACAGAAAAACCAGTTGGTAGAATTTCTACTTTCATTACTTCATAAACCCTGCTATAAAAGCCAGATAGGGACCACTTATAAATATGATAATAACGTGGTAAAATCCGTATAAGTTTTTACCTCGATAAAATCAGTTTTTAAATGGTGACTGCGGAATATATACGATTCAACGTGGTTTAAAGTAGTTTTGTTGTAAAACAAAAATAATTCCTTTAAGTTTTTACATTGTTACTATGTTCTATCTCATGGAACGAAATAAAACCTTTGACATGTATTTCACGGAATTAATCATGCTTTCCATAAATTTTAATGTGGAACTTTGGATGGCATCTGGTTGAACATGGTTTTTACCTACATTCTAAATTGTAACTTCGACACGATGTAAACATGGACTCATAAGGAATAAAAACGTATTTTAGTTTTTAACTGGATTGAAATGTTTTATTCACGGTTAAGCTTTAATTTGTAATTTTGCTCAGTTCGGATTCAATATGGTGTTTTCAGGGGTTCAAGTTAAAATTAAAGGCTTACCGTGTCAATGTGATTTTAACGAAAGTTTATACAAAACGGTAATTTTAGCTTATTTTTAAATTCAACCAGGTTTTTAAAAGGGTCAAAGTGAGAGTTTGGAGGTTGTCCAATCGACAACTTTGGAAGTTGTCGCTCACAAATCTGTTATATAAACAATTAAAATTACAATTTTCTGTCATTAATTAATTTAATTATGCTGACAATGAACAAAATTTATTTTTACTTATCTTATTCTTGGGGCAACCCGACCTGGCCACGACCGGGGCCACTAAAATTTACTGACCTGGGGCCGGACTAGAAAATCCGACCGGGGCCAGGTCGAAAATCAGGAACAAGGGTGGAAATTTCTGCACGGGTAATTATGAATCTTGTTTAAATTCAAAAAGGTCTTACTGGACCTTTAAACGCATTTATTTAACTCTACAGTGATACCAGCTAGGTACTATAGAATTTTAAGGCACCTCGATCAATATACCTGTGTATATTTCGCATAAGAAGATATTCAATCAAATCTTGATTTTAGAAGCGGGATATTTGTCTTCAGCATTGTAAAAATAAAGTCTTACTGTAACATATATCATAACTCAGGAACGCTATATGTTCTTCATTTGAGTTGAAACCTAAGATTCGTAAATTTTTAGTGTAAATTTCAGGTGAGGTTAAAATGAGTTGCAAATGTCCTTTATACTATTCTGGTAAGTTTCTTCGAAGTGCACAAATTTTTTTTCGAAAAATTTAAACAATGTTTAAAATTTTTTTAAAAATGTTTTAAAAATTATTTCATAAATTGAACAGTTTTTCTAACTTAAAAGTAAAGTTACATTTCAAGATTGCCACAACGAAGTTTACGAATCTTCGGTTTAAACTCAAGCGATGCTTACAGCAAGATATTTTGCTGTGGGGGGACATTTAATCGAAATACAATTAACAGAAAGGCATTTTAACCAAATCGGCATTTGACCGAATTGCTAATTGTATGCTTAATTTACCAATACCAGAAGTATGAATCTTATAAACATAATATGAAAATTTCTAACACTCGGGGGGATAGAACTTGCAATCTAACACACCGAAGCCTAATACACTAACCACTATATCCTATACTAACATGGAAATCCTAAAGCAAAAACACTTTGATAAGCTACACTTGAGAATAATGAAATTGTATTAGCTTAAGGCCAGGTTCAACTCGAGTCAGCTGTTCCTTTGAAGTTTCAATGGAACAGCTGACACGACTTGGACCTGGCCTTAAATGGAGGCCCATGAATATTGCCCAATTGACATGTGACAGAAATGTCAATTAACCGAAATGCATATGACACACATGTCATTTGACCATAATGACATGTTACAAAAATAATATTTGACATAAATGACATTTATCAAAATTGACATTTGACATAAATGACAATTATCAAAATTGTCATTTAACATAAACGACATGTACCAAAAATGTTCTATGACATAAATGACATTTTATAAAAATGTCATTTGACATAAATGATATGATACAAAAATGTCGTTTGACATAAATGACAATTATTAAAATTGTTATTTGACATAAACGAAATTTATCAAAACTGTCATTTGACATAAACGACCTGTAACATAAATGACATTTATCAAACTTGTCTTTTGACCTAAATATACTACTGCGAATTTTAAAATTGACCAATAAAAAGCTATTATTAAAATTGTGATTGGTCAGTTTTGAATTTCGTGCTCGAATATTTAGATCAAATGACAAGTTTGATAAATGTCAATTATGTCAAATGACATTTATGTTACATGTCGTTTATGTCAAATGACAATTTTGATCATTGTCATTTATGTCAAATGACATTTTTGTAACATGTCATTTATGTCAAATGAGAATTCTGATAAATGTTATTTATGTCAAATATGAGAGTAGTTTGACCAAAATTTATAAAGATTAACTAATTTTTTTTGTATTTTACAATTTTCAAAAAATCTTTTTTTTGTCCATAACTTTAAAAAAAATGTATTGACACCTATAAATATTTTTCTTTTATTTTGTAGAGTTTTTCAAGGCGCATCTTTTGAGCTACCGGTGAACACTCAACGTTTTTTACCTATAGTTTGAAAAAAATGTATTGATACATATAAATATTTTTCTTTAATTTTATATAGTTTTTTCTACATGCATTTTATCCAAAGTTATTGACATTTTCAAATTTTGAAATTTTAAAAACTTGACTTTTCTACATTATTCGTTTAAAAATCTTTACTTAACCTTGAAATTAACATAAGCAGGTTACAATTGTACTTAAAAACGCATTGATTGACCTATTTGCAAATATTTTGCTGCGAAATATTTTCCTAAATACCAATCATTTTTATGAAATTGATAAATTTGAGATCATATTTTTTTTATAACAAAAAATCTCTATGAGGAAGCAAGGTATTCATGGCATGAATACAATTCTTCATTCATGAGGAAGCAACTTACTTCTTTAATAAAGAAGGAATTATTTTTGTTTGCAATACATAAATTTTATTTTTATATTGTAAACGTTTATTGCATTTATTTATCAAAGTAAATAAAATTTTTAGCTTATAAAATAAGTTTTCTTATTACAACTGTACAGTAGTTTTTCGAAATTCCTTAACATTGAAAAAAATAGGCGTGACGCACCCAACAGTTTATTGTCATTACATTAACAATGTATTTTACTCCCGATTGTATATTAATTATAAAAATGGTTGAAAAAACAATTATTTTTATTTAAAATTACAAGTAATTCTTTTAAAAACCAATTAATTAGAAACTTACGTCTGACGTGCTTTAAACTTTCGAGATTTCCGTCTTACAGACGTTGTTAAACGTTTATCTGTATATTAGTCATATTCTTCTCTTTTTGATAAATAATTTGTTTTATGATAGAGTCTAATAATAAGTAACATCAACTGCTATCAAATAAATTAGTGTAAATTATCAATAACCTTTAGACAATCAATATAAATTTCACTAGGACCCTATACGACATAAAACGTTTATGAGAATTACACTCGATATTAATGATCAATTAATCCCAATTAATCGATTCAGAGCGCGCGCTTGTTTGAATATCAATGAAAGGTTGCATTATTGTTATTCATATTATTATTATTAAAAAATAAAAATAATATTTATATTTAAAATAAACAAGGTAATGTTAATAAATATAAATTATTTTATAATTCATTATTATTATTTCTTATTTTTGTTAAAAAAACCGAAATCAGTGCAGTTTCTTGTCAAAGTTAAAAAAGGAAAAAAATTGTCCGCTGTAAGCCAATCAAAACCAAGTGTTTAGAACAACATGTGATTCAATCTTTACATTCGGCCTTCTCTCCCTTTCTGAATTTCTTTGGCGAAGACGCACATTCTCGGAAGTTTGACAAAAAATTATTATTTTAATTATAAAACTTTTCCTGCTGTTGTTGAATTGTAAATGTGAGCGTGACTAGAAATTTGGTCAACAATATATACGGTTTTAGTTCATTTGTAATTGTAAGTAAATGGAGACATTTTTCTAAATGTAATATTGAAACTAACCTCAAAAATTTAGTTGAATTATTCAGGATTTTCAAAGTAAATAAAAGATAAAAGTTTCCAAATGATTTTAATCAAAATATTTTACAGTCAAAATATATCAAAATGAATTTCTTTATAAATAATTTGTAGATATTTACATTTAAAAAAGGAATGGTTGTAAAATTTTGCTGTTCAACAAAAAAAAATTAATTTTGAGGTTTTGGAAAAAATTTATTTTTTTGGATAAAATTTTTTTGTGGTGGTAGATTTTTTTGTTCTGCAATATTTACAATTTGATCTGCGTGATTAATTAATAATTAATTATTTAATTTTAGTTTTGGACACTCGCCGAAAAGTTCGAGATGAATTCTAAGGATTCGGTAAATATTAGTTTGAATCTATTATTTTATTCTGAGAACTGTTGTGATCGTAACTTTAAAAAGAAACGATTCAAAGTGTGTTATGAGCCAAAAGTTCTGAACGTTCAAAAGAACGAAATATTTTTCTCATTCTATAAATTATTAAAAATTATGATGACAATATAAAATAAAACAATAAATTAAACAATTATTAAATTAATAACTTCTTTTTGGATAATTAAAACAAATATTTTGTAATAAAATTAGTACTTAAAGAAGTTGCAAAAAAAATTTCGTTTATTTGAACGTTCAAAACTTTTGTCTCATAGTGTGTTTTACAAAATTCTATTCTGTAGGTAAAGGAGATAAAATTATTTTTAAAAATTGAATATGTTAAAATAAAAATGAGATTTAATAAATATTGTTCCATTGTTTTTACGTGCAGAATAAAGAGAATTACATTTTTCAAGTTTTTAATAGTTGAATTTTTGTAGTTTTTTTTTTAATTTTGTAGTTTTTGAATAGTTCCGTTAAAAAGGTTTTTAAAAACTTCTACGATGTTCTTATAAGGTTTTATCTTTTTATCATGAACAGAATGACTCTCTTGTCTCGATGGAAGATGACTCGCTAAATCAAACGATTGAACAGAGCGTTTTGGAAAGCAGCAGCGAGAAAAGGAAAAGAGGAAGACCGAAAAAAATTGAAATTAGCGAAACGAAAGCGGACAAAATAAAAAAAGCAGAGAAAAACAAACAAAGTAAAGAAACATCTGAGAAGGAAAAAAGAGAGATGGAGAAGGAAAATGAAAAATCTTTATTACAAGAAAAATTAAAAAAACAAGAGCGCGACTTGAAAAATCACGGCGAGCAATTGCGAATGTGCTGGCAGCAATTGGTTTTAGCAGAAGCTCAGCATTCAAATCTAAAGAAATCTGTTGGTAATCAGCAGCATGGCCAGCATATCGTCACTCAGCCTATGCTTAAAGCAGTATTAGACCAACTGCATGAAGCCCAAGAGAACCAGAAAAAATTACAATTGGAATTAAACTATCAACACAAAATTCTTACGGACAAGCAACAGCTGCCTTCACAGTCCGTGTTACCTGAATTGTTGAAATCATCTGATCCGTCAAACTCTGCAACAAACTGCGACGAGCTAGTACCAGGTGATCCGTCACATTTTTCTGATTCGAAAAAAAAAATTTCTGATCCGCTAAACAATGCTCCTACTGGTTCGTCAAATAACTCTCTTGCTCTGTCAAACTCTATTGGTGCTGATTTCTCAAACTCTGGTCGTCCTCGTCCATCAAACACTGTTGGTACTGGTACAAAAAGCTATGTTTATACTAATCCGCCAAACTCTGTTCGTGCTGGTCCGTCAAATTTAGTTCGTGCTGGTTCGTCAAACTCTGTGCGTACTGGTTCGGCAAATTCAAATGTTGTGTCACGTTTTACTGGACCAACTGGTCGACATAATGACGTAAGTAAATTATAATTCATGTCGTGTTTTTCAGGCCACCAAATATAAAAATAATTAATTAATATTAGACAATTTCAAATAGAATAGTTTTAAGTTACAAGTTTTTAAAAATATTTCTCCAACTCAATATTAAAATTCTTTTTGCTTAACAAGAACAAAGTTTCATACTAATTTTGTTCTTTTTAAACAAGAATTTTGAAAAGAAATTAACTCAAAAATAAACATTGTACAATTGTATGTTGAATTTTCAATTACTTAAATTAGAATTCTTTTAGGTTCTGCTTTATCAAATAATGATTCTATATTTAAAACTGAAACTCTTTTTTAGATACCTTCACGTGGAGGACAACCAACAAGAAAAAATGCTCGTCGTCGACCACCTCTTTCTTACCGACGTAAATTTGACAATAATCAAAATGGACATAATCCACATCCCTATCAACAAAATTATGGAAGTTATCGTCAACAAAATTACGACCATCATCGTCAATATAATCATCGACCGAATTATAGTCAAAATCATGGGTACCATCATGGATGTGATTGTCGACGTCGCCATAATGATGGATGTTTCGCTCCAAGAAGATCACACAATTGTAGATGTGATAAGAATTACAATTGTCAGCGTCACAATTCTTGCAATTGTGAACATCGCCATTATGACCACGAAGATTAAGATTTTTCATTTTCAATATCTCGATATATGTGACGCCGCACGAGAAAAGGGACCTATCCCTGAAATAATATTAGGCTCAGTTTTCCGTGCATTATACACGGAAAACTAAGCCTAATGTTATTTCGGGGATAGGTCCCTTTTCTCGTGAGGCGTCACATATATAGTCTATAATATGAATATCAAACTTTTTTAAAAATGATTAAAATTATTTTATTTTATAATACTTGGTTTTAAGTTACAAGTTTTTAAAAATATTTCTCCAACTCAAATCTTTTTTTTACACAATAATCTTTTAATAGGGTCATTCCATTTTATTTCACCTATAGTCGTTGCCGTCTATTTTTAGAAAAATTTGGTATTTCGTATTAATGACTTTTAATATCCGTACAATTCATTTTTGACAATTATTTTATGAAATTTTTTTTTATTTACGTTGAAATTTAATTTTTAAGTTGAGTTGAACGGAAAATAGGTTAGTTTGACAGCTTTGGAAATTTTATAAAAAAGAACAGAAATAATTCAGTTAGTAAATTTTTTTTCATTAATATTTGTTTAAAATAGTCTAATTTACCAATGTTAATTGTTAATTGTGTAAAAAAAGCCAAAATACTATGTGAAAATTAATATTCAAACTTACCTGTAAAATGTCAAAATTTGTCACATTTTATTTATATTTTCCAAGGAAGTTTATAAATATTATAAAATTTATTACTACCTAACAATAAGTACTTTCCATGTACTTTCACATGATATGTTGGCTTTTTATTTTTATAATATAGAAATATGTGAAATTTTACCTTGAATGTTGAACTTTTTAGGATTTTATATGATTTTGAACACTTATATCTTCGCAGGCGATTAATGAAAAAAAGCCATTTTGGTTTTAAAATTTAAGTTAAATCTTCTTTTTTCATCTTACCAAATTTTGGTGATGGAGAACGAGCTACTTTTTATTTTTATTCACTTTAAAAAGTTCACCTTAAAATACGAATTTAAAGGTTAAAAAACAAGTAATTTTATAAAACTGAAGTTGGTTTTCATACAATATAGATCTATATTGTATGAATTCCAACTTCATTTTATAAAATTACTTGTTTTTTAACCTTCAAATTCGTATTTTACGGTGAATTTTTTAAAGTGGATAAAAATAAAAAGTAGCTCGTTCTCTCCATCACCAAATTTTGGTAAGATGAAAAAAGAAGATTTAACTTAAATTTTAAAACCAAAATGGCTTTTTTTCATTAATCGCCTGCGAAGATATAAGTGTTCAAAATCATATAAAATCCTAAAAAGTTCAACATTCAAGGTAAAATTTCACATATTTCTATATTATAAAAATAAAAAGCCAACATATCATGTGAAAGTACTTAGAAAGTACTTATTGTTAGGTAGTAATGAATTTTGACATTTTACAGGTAAGTTTGAATATTAATTTTCACGTAGTATTTTGGCTTTTTTCACACAATTATCAATTAACATTGGTAAATTAGACTATTTTAAACAAATATCAATGAAAAAAAATTTACTAACGAATTATTTCTGTTCTTTTTTATAAAATTTCCAAAGCTGTCAAACTAACCTATTTTCCGTGCAACTCAACTTAAAAACTAAATTTCAACGTAAATAAAAAAAAATTTCATAAAATAATTGTCAAAAATGAATTGTACGGATATTCAAAGTCATTAATACGAAATATCAAATTTTTCTAAAAATAGGCTGCAACGACTATAGGTGAAATAAAATGGAATGACCCAATATTATAAAATGATACTATTTATAATATTGTAATATTGTAATGAAAACGAGTTAAATAAAATTGGATTAATGAGAAACACACTTTTTGCTCATATTTTTTAAAAAAAAAACATTTTTAAAAATTTTGCAGGTCATTTAAAAAAAACTGAGAAAACCGTTTCGATATATTAGTATGTTTTAATAAATAAACAACAATTTGTTGAAATAAACCTACATATTAACGATAAAATTAAAAAAAATTGTGGTGCTTTGAGGTTATATAAAATATCAAAAATTAAAATAAAACCTAAAAAAATAATATTTTTGATCAAAATTGAACAGATGGATAAAAATGTGAAGAATGAAATTCATAAAAACACTTCACTTTCATATCGTTTCTTTTTAACAATATCTTTTTTATTAATAGATTTTTTTCGGCATCTGCGTGGCATTTTCGATTTGTAAAAAGCAATGTTTTTATTTTTTTAAGTTATGCATAATATTATTGACTCACCACTTTCTTTTGTTTTTCAATCAGGTTGCAATAAAGTAAATTTGAGGCTATTTTATTAATTTAATTTTTATTAAAAACTGATTTAAATACGCAATAAAAAAGGAAATCCTTCTACAGAAATGTGTAAATGAATTTTCTTGATTTTTTTATGCAAAAACCTCATTTTCGATAAATTGGCGCTTGACCCCTTTTGTAATTCTACCCTTCACATATTTTTCATTTATTCTATATATTTTTATAAGCGCATCTTGACCTACCTTGACCTAAAAATAAAAAAATAACTATCGTTTGTCCTCTAATCTATCATTTCCAAAAAACCTCAACACGATATCAATTTTAGTTTACGAGAAAAATGTCAAATACAAAACCATGTTTTCACCTCATTTAGTCATATTTCACAATTATTTATAACAATTGTGGAAAAGGTAAGGTTAAATATTGAGAATAGCGCTATCGTTTGTCCTTTAATCTATCATTTCCAAAAAACCTTAACACGATATCAATTTTAGTTTACGAGAAAAATGTCAAATACGAAACCATGTTTTCACCTGATTTCTCCCACATGCCGTTAATATTATTGAAAAGTAAAAGAAAAACTGAAACTTTTCCTCTCTTAGCAAAAATTGAAAAAATACATTTTTTCGAATTATCAGTCATTGAAAATAGGTCTACATTGAAAAAACTGAAATTATGAAAATTCATAACTCGAAAATTTTTTAAAAAAAATAGGTATCCCTTTTTTTACTACAGAACAAGAAAAAAATATATTTGCCCAAATTTAAAGGGTCGACGGAAATCTCACGTGAAATCGCCTATACTTTCTTTCAGCGATAAAAAAGAAACGGCACTATAGATGGCACAGCAAAAAATACAAATTTTACACTTTAACTTTGACGCTCTCTGAAAAGAGTAAACACTTATTTACAAGAAAAAGATTATTGTTTTGTTTAGTTAAAATATTATATTTTCGAGTGTAAAAAGTTTGTATTAAATGAACAATAAAGCTACAAACCATTTGTTGCGACGTTTGCTGATATTTTGATAAGTGCGACGACTGCTGTTGCATTGGATACTGTAACGGTTGCTGTTGCAGTGGAATCTGTGTCGCATCCTGTTGCAACGGAAAGTGCGACGGTTGCTTTTGCACTGCATACTGCAACGGTTGCTGGTGCAGTGGAAACTGTAACGGTTGCTGTTGCGGTGAAAACTGTGACTGTTGCGGTGGAAATTGCGATGGTTGCTGTGGTGGAGGAAAGTGCGATTGTTGCTGTGGCGGTAGAAACTGTGACAGTTGCAACTGTGATGGTTCCTGTTGCGGAGGAAACTGTGACGCTTGCTGTTGCACTGCATACTGCAACGATTGCTGTTGCAGTGAAAACTGTGACGGTTGCTGTGGCGGTGAAAAGTGTGACGGTTGCTGTTGCGGTGGAAACTGTGACGGTTGTTGCGGTGGAAACTGTGACGGTTGCTGTTGCAGCGGAATCTGTGCTGGTGCCTGATTTAGCGGAGTTTGTGGTGGTGGCTGCTGTTGCGGCGAAAATTGTGCTGGTGCCTGATGTAGCGGAGTTTGTGGTGGTGGCTGCTGTTGCGGCGAAAATTGTGGTGGTTGTGATGGTTGTTGAATTCCATTGGGGTTGATGGACGGTGAACCATCCTGCTTCAATAATTGAAAACAAAATCATTGTTTAAACCAGTTTTCAATTGAAAATTCAATAAAATTCAATTGTCTAAATTTTTAAAAATATTTCACTTCTTTAAAATAAATGTTTCAATTAATAATCTCCTGAAATTCAATTATTTTCAAAAAATTTAACAATTGCTCTTCCAGAACTCAATTATTTCAAAAAATTTCAATTTTTTTTTGGGTACTAATTATTTCTAATAAGTTTAATTAAGTTTTTCAAAAATTTAACGTTTTTTAATTACTAATTTTTTTAAATTTAATTTTTATTTATATAATTTTTAAAAAATTTCAATAAATTAAGTTCATTAAAATTTTAATTGAAAATTTCTAAGATCGAAAATTTAAATATTAAAACATTTTTCAAATAAAAATTCTCTATAATTAAATTATTTTTAAAAATTGAATAACCCGATCAAAAAAGGGCATATAATCCATTTGAATTACATTAGTTATATGCCCTTTTTTGATCCGGTAGACCAATTTTATTTAAAATTCTTCGCTAAATTAATTTTTATTAATTACATTAATAAAAAAATTATCGCATATTTTTCTTTAAAATATTCTTATTGAGGAATTAATAAATTTTATGTAATGTCTAATAACAAAATATTTAGTATAATAAAATATTTATCAAGTAATAATAATAACGCATAATATTTTAAAATTGACTACTGTGACTTACGTTTGAAGATGGTTCTCCCTTGGATTTTCTACTGCCACTACGCCTTGTGTGCATCGTGAATTAAAAAAACTACAAAAAAATTTCTGTATTAATTATTTGATAGAAAAAAATTGGGAAGTTAGATATTTTAAAGATAACACTTTTAAGAGCGTAAAAACCTGCAATAAAATTTTTCACGACTTTTATTTTTTTATTAGTTAATTCTATTATATTTCATCTGAAGTCCTTTCGTCCTATTTTTAAAAAAATCTGATATTTCGTAATAATGAATATTAATATCTGTATGTATTATATAATATCTATATATTATCTGTATATCCGCGTGAAAATCGAAGTATGGGAAAAAACCATCAAAAGCCAGCAAAGTTAGGGAAAAATTTTTAACCAAACTTATCAGATTTTTCGCAAACATTGGAAAAAACTCAAGCCTAAGAAGAAATAATTTTTTCTCATTTTTTACTTTTTAAAATTAGTTTTTCAAAAAAACGGAAAAATTAGGAAAAATTCGGGGCCTAGAAAAATTCATTTTTTTCATTTTTTACTTTACAAAAATTAGTTTTTCAAAGCAGGGGAAAATTTGGGATAAATTCGGGGCCAAGAAAAATTAATTTTAGAAAGTAAAAAAAAAGGAGAAATGAATTTTTCTTGGCTCCGAATTTTCCCGTACTTTGAAAAACTAATTTTAAAAAGTAAAAAATGAAAAAAATGAATTTTTCTTGACCGCGAATTTTTCCCAAATTTTCCCGTACTTTGAAAAACTAATTTTAAAAAGTAAAAAATGAAAAAAAAATAATTTTTCTTGTCCCCGAATTTTCCCAAATTTTCCCGTACTTTGAAAAACTAATTTTAAAGAGTAAAAAATAAAAAAAAATTGAATTTTTCTTGGCCCCAAATATTCACAAATTTTCCCGTACTTTGAAAAACTAATTTTAAAAAGTAAAAAATAAAAAAAAATGAATTTTTCTTGGCCCCAAATATTCACAAATTTTTCCGTACTTTGAAAAACTAATTTCAAAAAGTAAAAAATGAAAAAAAATGAATTTTTCTTGTCCACGAATTTTATCAAAATTTTCCAGTACTTTGAAAGACAAATTTTTAAAAGTAAAAAAATGAGAAAAAATTAATTTTTCTTGGCCCCGATTTTTCCCAAATTTTTCCGTACTTTGAAAAACAAAGTTTTAAAAGTAAAAAAAATGAGAAAAAATGAATTTTTCTTGGCCCCGAATATTCACAAATTTTTCCGTTTTTATTTCATAGAAATAAAAATTTTACGAATTTTTAAATTGACGTTTCAGGAAATTATTTTATTTTTCTATCAATGTTATAATTCATGTTATGTAATAGACTAGCACAATCTATAAAATAATGTTTTTATTGTCAAAAAATAATTTTTTTTGTTCTTGAGTAGAAACATTTAGAATACTATTTAATTCCAGAAATAATAACTCTGAACTATTCCTCAACAAACCTAACCTAATTCTTAATTTTACAAATTCAACATTTTTTGAGAAATTTCCTGTTATCTAAAGTTGTAGAGGTAAAATATATTTTTGAATTTTTAAAAATTACCAAAATAAGTTTTTTTGAAAAAAATAGAAGAAAATAAAAATCATATGGATAGAACCTTTTTTCTGAATTTATAAATTTAATTTTCAAGATTATGGTTTAATTATTTTTCTAAATAAAATTAATTTTTTTTTGTGCTTGAGTTGAAATATTTAGAATAATATTTAATTCCAGAAATAATAACTCTGAACTATTTCTCAACAAACCTAACCTAATTCTTAATTTTACAAATTCAACATTTTTTGAAAAATTTGCATTTATATAAAGTCGTAGAGGTAAAATATATTTTTGAATTTTTAAAAATTACCAAAATAAGTTTTTTTGAAAAAAAATAGAAGAAAATAAAAATCATAAGGATGAAACCTTTTTTCTGAATTTATAAATTTAATTTTCAAGATTATGGTTTAAATATTTTTCTAAATAAAAATAATTTTTTTTGTGCTTCAGTTGAAACATTTAGAATAATATTTAATTCCAGAAATAATAACTCTGAACTATTCCTCAACAAACTAACATTTTTTTACTTTTAGAAATTCAACATTTTTTGAGAAATTTGCTAATATAGAAAGTCGTAGAGGTAAAATATATTTTGAATTTTTAAATATTATCAAGAAAAGATTTTTTGAAAAAATTTGAAATAAATAAAAATTTTATTACAAAATATATATTTTATATATATTATATAAAAAAATTTATATTTATTACATTAAATTAGGGTCAACTGGGGTAAATCCGAACGCTTTTAGTAAGTTTCAACAATAACATAAGTTTTTTCTTTAAAAATAAAATACTTCCGGTATTCTGGTGCATGAAGTTGTTACTTTACTTCCATAGAACAATTTTATGAGGTAGAAAAAATTTTTGATAAATTACAATCGCATGAAACTTAGCGTTCGTATTTACCTCGATACTTTGCAACGTTCCTAAAATATGGGGGTAAATACGAACGCCACTGTATTTCAGAAAAATCTTAGGGAAAATAAATTTAAAGTATTGCAATTGTTAAACTTATATAAAAACTCAAAAAAAATACGATAATAAACCTATTATGTAATAATGCATCATATATAAATACAAAAATCAAACAGGTTAAAAATTAAAATGCATTACACAAATAAAACCTTCAATAACTTTATCAAATCATAACGGATTTTTGCAAAACTTGGTACAGAAACTATTTTGGAGTGATTGAATGTAAATACAAAAATAAAAGTCAAATTTTTTAAATTCAAAATGGCGTACTTTCCTAAAACTTATTTTTAAAAATGATCAAATTTGCTAACCCTGAAACCCCCGAGTAACAATTTTCGAGCGAATCCAATGAATTTTTTAATTCTCGTCCGCCATTTTGAATTTTGAAAAACTGACTTCAAATTGGTAATTAGCGACCCCAAAAACCGTAGAATACCAAATTTTATTAAGATCCTGAAAAACTTTTTTCAACAAACCATTTGGCAAAAAATTGAAACACTCCTTCGAGAGAACAGAGATTAAGTTTCTGCTTATTAATTACTAACGAGGATACGTATAGAAAGAAAAACTTTTTTCTATGTACTTTTATAATGTTAAAATAATAGTGTAATCAAATAAAAACAATTTTGTGTGGCTTTGATGTAAAAAAAAATTATTAAAAATACCGTTCGGATTTACCCCAGTTTTCCAATTTTCTTGGGTAAATACGAACGGTCTGATATTATTAATAAAATTTTACAGAAGGCAAAAATCAAATATAGTTTCTGTTCTAGTATTCATAACAAACAATTATAAATAATAAAATGAATTTTTAGCTTCTTTTTCTTCAAATACGAGACAAAATACTGAAAGAGTGTCATCTTTGATTTTCAATCTTTTTTGCAATACTTGTTATCTTTGTTTATGCTGTTGCTAATTAACAAACAAAAAATGGGATAATACTTAGAATCTCTTTAAGAGGATCTGAGGTAAAAATTCTCATATCGAACTTATTTTTAAAAATTTTAATTAAGCTGAAATAATTAGCGTTCGGATTTACCCCCCGTTCGGATTTACCCCGACTGACCCTAATTATTTATTATTAAATTAAATATATATATATATATATATATATATATATTTGAATATATAAAAATAAATAATCTATCACAAAAACTTTTTTTAAAAAATAATATTAAATTTTTTTTTTGAAAAAAGGCAATTTATTGTGCTTAAGTTGAAACATTTAGAATAATTTTTAATTCCAGAAATGATAACTCTGAACTATTCCTCAACAAACCTATCCTAATTTTTACTTTTACAAATTCAACATTTTTTGAAAAATTTGCATTTATATAAAGTCCTAGAGGTAAAATATATTTTTGAATTTTTAAAAATTACCAAAATAAGTTATTTTAGAAGAAATGGAAAAAAATAAAATTCATAGAAATAAAACTTTTTCGAATTTTTAAATTGACGTTTCAGGAAATTATTTTATTTTTCTAACAATGTTATAATTCATGTTATGTAATAGACTAGCACAATCTATAACAAAAAGTTTTTTTTGTGTCTTGAGTAGAAACATTTAGAATAATATTTAATTCGAGAAATAATAACCCTGAATTTTTCCTCAACAAACCTAACCTAATTTTTTAATTCCAGAAATGCAACTTTTTGAAGCTAAAGTACGCAACGTTTATGTTAAATCGTATTTTTAAAGATATATTTTGAATTTTTAAAATGACCAAATTTTATAAGTTTTTTGCCTAAAAAAATATAAGTAAAATGAAAATCATATGGATAGAACCTATTTTTCTGAATATAAATTTAATTTTCAAGATTATGGTTTATTATTTTCTAAATAAAATTAATTTTTTTTAGAATCGCTTTAGTCATGAAACGTTGCGTACTTCAGCTTCGTAGAAATGATAACTCTGAATTATTCCTCAATAAACCTAACCTAATTCTTCACTACAATCAATATTTGGCTGAAATAATAATTAGCAGTTATTGAAAATCGTAGAGGTATAATATATTTTGCAATTTTTAAAAATTACCAAAATAAGTTATTTTAGAAAAAATTTGAAGTAAATAAAAATCATAGGGATGAAGCCTTATTTCTGAATTTATAAATTTAATTTTCATGATTATGGTTTAATTATTTTTCTGAATAAAAATAATTTTTTTTGTGCTTGAGTAGAAACATTTAGAATAATATTTAATTCCAGAAATGATATCTCTGAATTATTCCTCAACAAACCTAACCTAATTTTTAGTTTTACAAATTAAACATTTTTTGGAAAAATTGCATTTATATAAAGTTGTAGAGGTAAAATATTTTTTTTTGAATTTTTAAAAATTACCAAAATAAGTTTTTTTTAGAAAAAATTTGAAGTAAATAAAAATCATAGGGATGAAACCTTTTTTCTGAATTTATAAATTTAATTTTCAAGATTATGGTTTAATTATTTTTCTAAATAAAAATAATTTTTTTTGTGCTTGAGTTGAAACATTTAGAATAATATTTAATTCCAGAA